CTGACCTGCCCGCCGCCCGGTGCGGGGCCCGGTGGTGCCCGTGCGACGCTGCTGAGGAGGAAGTGTCCCTTGGGTGCGGGAGCGGGGTGGTGGGTGTGCCGGCCGGGGAGCTGAGGTTTATGGCACTGGCTCTTACGTAATGGCCTCGAGCACGCCGCCTGTGTTAGTGCTGCTACCGGCTTTCGGCCGGGCTTGTGCTGGAGCAGCTGCTGGGTGTGGGGGGTGACCCGGGCAGAAGCAGTGGGGTCTGCACGCACCCCAGGGTGTGGAAGTCGCAGGCAGTGAGCAGGGGTGGTTCAGGAAGGTGCTGCAGGACTGATCAGTGCTACCTGACCTTAGGCAAACACGTGTCTGAATGGTATTAGGCAACTCTGCTGCTAGGAAAAAACCCACTGTCTTGCTGTGTCTGTCAGCAAGCTGATGAGAATAGGGTAAGTTTGTTTAAAACACTCTCTCAACATTGGCTTTTTGAGTCAGGAACATGAAAGTCGTCATTGTTTCAACCTCACGTGACTCAGAAGGGCAGGAAGAAGAAGGACGGGGAATGGCGTGGGAAGGGTTGGCAAACATGAAGGCTTGTCTTGCACTTTTGGTGCTTTTTGGGTTTAGGTGATGCTGGAGATAGCAGCATCAGCTGTCCTTCTATTAGCTTTATTTTGGTTATCTTCTCTCGGAAGTACCACAGAAGGTGTTGGTTGTGTTGGGAGATGCCAGTGTCCCAGGGGACTGCAGGCGAGCCTCGAGCGTTGAACTGGCCTTTCCATTTCCGTCTGCTCCCCCGACATCAGCAGTAAAATTTATGCTGTGTCTTTTTGCCTGTCTTCACAGAGTCCACAGAAGTACAGTGGTGGGGTCCCTTGTCTACTCCTTGGTTGGGTGGTACACTTAAGGAATGTTTCGTGATGCATTGCTTTTGTTTTCCAAATGGCATTTCCATAAAGTCCTTGGGTTGTATCAGTAGGCCTTTGTTTAGAATAGTTTGTGTTTAGCTCCTCCTGATTTCTTAGAATCATTTCATGCAACTGGCCAGGCTGGCTTCTTGTTATTTCTCACAAAGTGCCCTGCTAACAAACCCCAGTATTGTGGTAGTATGTAATATCTTTGGCTTGAGAGCTAGAGTACATGGTGCTACAGGCCACCTGAAAGCTATTCAGAGCTCACAGAAATGAGTTTTAACTGTCTGCTAGCATGATCCTTTGGGAGTGGTTGTACTTGCAGTGCTACTATACAGTCAGCTTTTGAAATCCATAGGGTAAAATTCTGTTGTGGAGTAAGCATCTGGTTGTACTTAGCAATTTCCCACAGCTCGTATGTAATGTACTTTACCATATGTAAAGTAGGAGACCGTATGATGGATGTTGCAAATGGCAGCTGAAGAATTTCAGCTGCTCAGGTGCCCTAGGTTTTACCACTGTTGGCAGCAGAGCTTTTCACAGCTGCTTGTTCTAATAGCACTCCAAAGGAACAAGCCAAATTATAAACCTGTAAATGTTGTCAGTGTAACTGTGCTATGACTTTCATTGTGTGCATCGTAGTGCAGAATGCTGTGGTAAATGCATTAATTAACCAGCAGTAGGATCTGCCTTCAGCTGCACAAAAAGATCCTACCTGTGTGAAGGTAAAAACCAAACAAACCCCAAACAACAGTTGAATTTCTAAGTTGGAACAGAATTGGAAAGGTAGACTAGCTTGTTCTGGATGTGAGGATCATGGCAGTTCATATAAATCATTAATTTGCCACATCTTTTTTCTCTAGGCTTTGAGTACTGATCTGCCCTTGGTTTTGATATTCAGAGTGTATTAATGGAGTTGTACTCTAGCAGGCTTTTAAAAAGTTGTGCATTTACTGCCACTTGAGTTCCTATTTTCTAACTCAATGAATCTGTTCTGTGTTGTCAGATGAGGCGTTCTATTGTATGGTGGATGATTACATTTCTTGTAACGTTGGAACTTCTTAGCCTTGCTACAATGAGGAAAAACATACCTGGAAAATCAAAATTAGCTTTTCTGATAAGTTGTCTGGAGAGGGGTGGTCATATCTGATGGTTATAATTAAGTGATGGAGATTGTTTCACTTTCAAGATGCCTCTATCTATAGTGGTCTCTTGGCAAAACGTTCTGAATATCTCTGTGAGCTCTAGACTTGCTTTTGTATAGGTATGTAGAAAGCTTCTGGTGAATCTTCTAAATCTTACACCTTTCCTATTCCTGTATTCTAGGCTGGAAGGACAATCTGTGTTACTGAAGGAAGGTGCTCCTAATTGTGGGGTGACTTATGATGTCAAGAACTGTGTCGTCCTGGATCTTAAGCTCAGCAAGAAACAGCATAGTTTTACAAGGAAAAGGACGTTTATACTCCGTCTGTATCCCAAATAGAAACAAGATAAAATGGAAGTTGGTTTTCTCCAAAACACGCCTCTACCCTGCTGGGAGTTTCTCCTTAACAAAAGCGTTCCGACACACTTCCACCGAAGAAGAACATTTCTCTTTCCAGTTGTCTCCGTCGCAAATCAACGATATGCTCAGAGCAGGCGAATTATCCCATAAGACACTGGTTTTGAATGGTAAAAATGCAAATTCTGTGCTGAGGTTTGAAAGTAACCAGTTGGCGTCCAACACCCCTATTGAAGACCGCAGAAGCGCAGCCACCTGCTTGCAGACCAAAGGGATGATGTTTGGGGTCTTTGACGGTCATGCAGGTTCCGCCTGCGCTCAGGCAGTAAGCGAGCGGCTGCTTCACTACATAGCCGTCTCTCTCATGTCTCGGCAGACCTTGGAAGAGATCGAGCTCGCTGTGGAGTGCATGAAACCGGTTCTGCCTATTCTGCAGTGGCACAAGCATCCAAATGATGGGGAGTATCGAGAAATAACTTCACAGTACTTTGAAAACCTCCGGGTTTACTGGCAACATTTGCTGGACTTGGACACAGAGCCAGGATTTAGTTTAGAAGAAGCCATGATAAGTGCATTCAAAAGGTTAGACTCAGACATATCACTGGAAGTTCAAGCTCCGCAAGAAAATGAATTGATGAGAAATATTGCTCTTCAGGTAGCTTTTTCTGGTGCAACAGCCTGTGTGGCTCACGTTGACGGTGTTCACTTACACGTTGCAAATACCGGTGATTGCAGAGCAGTTTTAGGTGTTCAAGAGGAAGATGGCACGTGGTCGACTCTCCCTCTAACCCGAGACCACAATGCCTTCGATGAATTTGAAATCAGAAGACTGAAGAGAGAACATCCTAGGTCTGAGGAGAAGACCCTGTTTGTGAATGACCGATTATTGGGGATTCTTATGCCCTCCAGAGCCTTTGGAGATGTGCAATTAAAATGGAGTAAAGAGTTGCAACACAGCGTTCTTGAGAACAGCTCTGATGCTGAGGCTTTAAATATTTATCAGTACGTTCCTCCAAACTACCACACCCCCCCTTATTTAACTGCAGAGCCTGAAGTCACATACCACAAATTAAGAAGCAAGGATAAGTTTCTAGTTCTTGCTTCAGATGGACTGTGGGAGATGCTAAGTAATGAGAAGGTTGTGAAACTTGTCGCCGGACACCTCACAGAGCTTAATGAGCAGAAACCACAACTGCCTTTTGAGAAACCGGTTAATTTGGGTTATATGCACAGCTTGTTGCTGCAGAGGAAGAACAGAGGCATTGCCTCCCTTGACCAGAACATAGCGACTCACTTAATAAGGCACGCAATTGGGAGTAATGAGTATGGGGAGGTGGACCAAGAGAAACTTGCTGCAATGCTGACGCTGCCTGAAGACCTTGCGAGAATGTACAGAGATGATATCACAGTTACTGTGGTGTATTTTAATTCAGAAACAATTGAAAATTACTACAGAAACAATGAGTAGGAACTTGCACTGCCGCTGTTGTGTGCCACTAGCCAGCTTTGGTACTGAAACCGTTACTGTTTTCCTCTGGTAGTCAAGCTGTTATCAGTGTTACGGTCTGGAAATTCCTAAACCTGTTTGTTACTAACCAGTCTTGAAAATAACTCTCCAGAAATGAGTTGGGTGAAAGATCTGGGTTTCCAGGTCTGTCCACACTGAAGAAAAATGTTTTGATAAAAGTGAAATGTAACCAAACTAAAGATTGTTCAGCCAGTTCTGATTCCACGGGAGCCACTGGTAAAACTTTCCAAATGAACAAACGAGACCAATTTTGCTGAGTGGTACAATTTAGTAGAGAGGTGGATGATCCCTGTAGCTGCATGGAGTGTAAGGAAGGCTCTGCTCTCGTGGAAAGTGAGTAGCATCCTACTGAAACACTGTAATTGAATTAAATAAATGAACTACCAAACCTTTATTTGATGTGATGGTGTCAGATACTTTAATGAGTTACTTTGTATCTGTGAAGACAGCAGTAAAGAAGGCTGATCAAAGAACCTTGCGAGTGTCAGACATGGTTTTTTTCCTAATCCTTTTTTTGGTTTCTTTTTAAGCTAGGAAACAAAATCCGGTTTTCTTCCACAGTTAATTTGGAGCGTGAATGCATATTCTCTTACTTCTGTGTGTGGACCTGTGTGACAATTTACAACTCAGACACACATGAGGGACTTAAGGGTTCCCTGTTTAGGAATTCACAAAGCATTTAAGTGTTTAACTTGCTTAAAGAATGTGCTCCTTTATTAACCATTGATCTGTGAGGTGCTGTGCATCAAATCCACCAGCTGTAATTTAAAAGAAGCTTGACAGACCCAGAAGTTCAAAAATTCATCGAAACATAAATACAGCACAAGACAGCACCTTTCTTTTCAGATTTAACTTAGAAGAGAGAAATAACTTTGCTGATATTTTACCAAAATGTGTTAATCTTTATTTTACTCTTGTTCTGGCCTTTGGACATCAGTTTTTCCTTACAGTGCAGAGTTATTTTCTCTTACCTCTGAACGTACACTGTTGTATGTTTGATGACTGTTCTATACTGTGCTTTCTAGAGTGCTAATCCAAGCTTGCAAATTAGCTGTGTTTTCTTAAAGTTTACATATGGTAAACTCTAGAGTTCTCTAGGGACTCTTTTTTTTTTTTCCTTGTTTATGCGCAGCAGTAACTGTTCCCCACGAGAGTGTGTGTATTGGGAATATAGGACTGTTTACCACTGTTGCTACCAAGGAAGAACTTGTGGGTGCAGCAGGGCACATTAAAAATGCTGCTTGCTTTGTTTTGTTTTTTTTTTTCCCTGCCATTTAT